TCAGTGACACGCACCGCATCGTCAGTGACACGCACCGCATCGTCAGTGACACGCACCGCATCAGCAGTGACACGCACCGCATCAGCAGTGACACGCACCGCATCAGCTGTGACACGCACCGCATCAGCTGTGACACGCACCGCATCAGCTGTGACACGCACCGCATCAGCTGTGACACGCACCGCATCGTCAGTGACACGCACCGCATCGTCAGTGACACGCACCGCATCGTCAGTGACACGCACCGCATCAGCTGTGACACGCACCGCATCAGCTGTGACACGCACCGCATCAGCTGTGACACGCACCGCATCAGCTGTGACACGCACCGCATCAGCTGTGACACGCACCGCATCAGCAGTGACACGCACCGCATCAGCAGTGACACGCACCGCATCAGCTGTGACACGCACCGCATCAGCTGTGACACGCACCGCATCACCTGTGACACGCACCGCATCTGCAGTGACACGCACCGCATCAGCTGTGACACGCACCGCATCAGCTGTGACACGCACCGCATCAGCTGTGACACGCACCGCATCAGCAGTGACACGCACCGCATCAGCAGTGACACGCACCGCATCAGCTGTGACACGCACCGCATCAGCAGTGACACGCACCGCATCAGCAGTGACACGCACCGCATCAGCAGTGACACGCACCGCATCAGCTGTGACACGCACCGCATCACCTGTGACACGCACCGCATCACCTGTGACACGCACCGCATCAGCTGTGACACGCACCGCATCACCTGTGACACGCACCGCATCACCTGTGACACGCACCGCATCAGCTGTGACACGCACCGCATCAGCTGTGACACGCACCGCATCAGCTGTGACACGCACCGCATCAGCTGTGACACGCACCGCATCACCTGTGACACGCACCGCATCACCTGTGACACGCACCGCATCACCTGTGACACGCACCGCATCACCTGTGACACGCACCGCATCACCTGTGACACGCACCGCATCACCTGTGACACGCACCGCATCAGCTGTTACACGCACCGCATCAGCTGTTACACGCACCGCATCACCTGTGACTCGCACCGCATCAGCTGTGACACGCACCGCATCAGCTGTGACACGCACCGCATCAGCTGTTACACGCACCGCATCAGCTGTGACACGCACCGCATCAGCTGTGACACGCACCGCATCATCAGTGACACGCACCGCATCAGCTGTGACACGCACCGCATCAGCTGTGACACGCACCGCATCGTCAGTGACACGCACCGCATCGTCAGTGACACGCACCGCATCAGCTGTGACACGCACCGCATCAGCTGTGACACGCACCGCATCAGCAGTGACACGCACCGCATCAGCAGTGACACGCACCGCATCGTCAGTGACACGCACCGCATCGTCAGTGACACGCACCGCATCGTCAGTGACACGCACCGCATCGTCAGTGACACGCACCGCATCGTCAGTGACACGCACCGCATCAGCAGTGACACGCACCGCATCGTCAGTGACACGCACCGCATCGTCAGTGACACGCACCGCATCGTCAGTGACACGCACCGCATCGTCAGTGACACGCACCGCATCAGCTGTGACACGCACCGCATCAGCTGTGACACGCACCGCATCAGCTGTGACACGCACCGCATCAGCTGTGACACGCACCGCATCAGCTGTGACACGCACCGCATCTGCAGTGACACGCACCGCATCTGCAGTGACACGCACCGCATCAGCAGTGACACGCACCGCATCAGCAGTGACACGCACCGCATCAGCTGTGACACGCACCGCATCAGCTGTGACACGCACCGCATCAGCTGTGACACGCACCGCATCAGCTGTGACACGCACCGCATCAGCTGTGACACGCACCGCATCAGCAGTGACACGCACCGCATCAGCAGTGACACGCACCGCATCAGCTGTGACACGCACCGCATCAGCTGTGACACGCACCGCATCACCTGTGACACGCACCGCATCACCTGTGACACGCACCGCATCTGCAGTGACACGCACCGCATCAGCAGTGACACGCACCGCATCAGCTGTGACACGCACCGCATCAGCTGTGACACGCACCGCATCAGCTGTGACACGCACCGCATCAGCAGTGACACGCACCGCATCAGCTGTGACACGCACCGCATCAGCTGTGACACGCACCGCATCAGCTGTGACACGCACCGCATCAGCAGTGACACGCACCGCATCAGCTGTGACACGCACCGCATCAGCTGTGACACGCACCGCATCACCTGTGACACGCACCGCATCACCTGTGACACGCACCGCATCACCTGTGACACGCACCGCATCAGCTGTGACACGCACCGCATCAGCAGTGACACGCACCGCATCAGCTGTGACACGCACCGCATCAGCTGTGACACGCACCGCATCAGCTGTGACACGCACCGCATCACCTGTGACACGCACCGCATCACCTGTGACACGCACCGCATCACCTGTGACACGCACCGCATCACCTGTGACACGCACCGCATCACCTGTGACACGCACCGCATCACCTGTGACACGCACCGCATCACCTGTTACACGCACCGCATCAGCTGTTACACGCACCGCATCACCTGTGACTCGCACCGCATCAGCTGTGACACGCACCGCATCAGCTGTGACACGCACCGCATCAGCTGTTACACGCACCGCATCAGCTGTGACACGCACCGCATCAGCTGTGACACGCACCGCATCAGCTGTGACACGCACCGCATCAGCTGTGACACGCACCGCATCAGCTGTTACACGCACCGCATCAGCTGTGACTCGCACCGCATCAGCTGTGACTCGCACCGCATCAGCTGTGACTCGCACCGCATCAGCTGTGACTCGCACCGCATCAGCTGTGACTCGCACCGCATCAGCTGTGACTCGCACCGCATCGTCTGTGACTCGCACCGCATCGTCTGTGACACGCACCGCATCGTCTGTGACACGCACCGCATCAGCTGTGACACGCACCGCATCAGCTGTGACACGCACCGCATCAGCTGTGACACGCACCGCATCAGCTGTGACACGCACCGCATCAGCTGTGACACGCACCGCATCGTCTGTGACACGCACCGCATCGTCAGTGACACGCACCGCATCGTCAGTGACACGCACCGCATCAGCTGTGACACGCACCGCATCAGCTGTGACACGCACCGCATCAGCTGTGACACGCACCGCATCAGCTGTGACACGCACCGCATCAGCTGTGACACGCACCGCATCAGCTGTGACACGCACCGCATCAGCTGTGACACGCACCGCATCGTCTGTGACACGCACCGCATCGTCTGTGACACGCACCGCATCGTCTGTGACACGCACCGCATCAGCTGTGACACGCACCGCATCAGCTGTGACACGCACCGCATCAGCTGTGACACGCACCGCATCAGCTGTGACACGCACCGCATCAGCTGTGACACGCACCGCATCAGCTGTGACACGCACCGCATCAGCTGTGACACGCACCGCATCGTCTGTGACACGCACCGCATCGTCTGTGACACGCACCGCATCGTCTGTGACACGCACCGCATCGTCTGTGACACGCACCGCATCGTCTGTGACACGCACCGCATCGTCTGTGACACGCACCGCATCGTCTGTGACACGCACCGCATCGTCTGTGACACGCACCGCATCGTCTGTGACACGCACCGCATCGTCTGTGACACGCACCGCATCGTCTGTGACACGCACCGCATCGTCTGTGACACGCACCGCATCGTCTGTTACACGCACCGCATCGTCTGTTACACGCACCGCATCGTCTGTTACACGCACCGCATCGTCTGTTACACGCACCGCATCAGCAGTGACACGCACCGCATCGTCTGTGACACGCACCGCATCGTCTGTTACACGCACCGCATCGTCTGTGACACGCACCGCATCGTCTGTTACACGCACCGCATCGTCTGTGACACGCACCGCATCGTCTGTGACACGCACCGCATCGTCTGTGACACGCACCGCATCGTCTGTGACACGCACCGCATCGTCTGTGACACGCACCGCATCGTCTGTGACACGCACCGCATCGTCTGTGACACGCACCGCATCGTCTGTTACACGCACCGCATCAGCAGTGACACGCACCGCATCGTCTGTGACACGCACCGCATCGTCTGTTACACGCACCGCATCGTCTGTGACACGCACCGCATCGTCTGTGACACGCACCGCATCGTCTGTGACACGCACCGCATCGTCTGTGACACGCACCGCATCGTCTGTGACACGCACCGCATCGTCTGTTACACGCACCGCATCGTCTGTGACACGCACCGCATCGTCTGTGACACGCACCGCATCGTCTGTTACACGCACCGCATCGTCTGTGACACGCACCGCATCGTCTGTGACACGCACCGCATCAGCAGTGACACGCACCGCATCATCAGTGACACGCACCGCATCAGCAGTGACACGCACCGCATCATCAGTGACACGCACCGCATCATCAGTGACACGCACCGCATCATCTGTGACACGCACCGCATCAGCAGTGACACGCACCGCATCAGCAGTGACACGCACCGCATCATCTGTTACACGCACCGCATCAGCTGTGACACGCACCGCTAATTCTGCTAATTCCTGCTGGAGATGTTACTACAACTAATCTGCCAATTCTTCTGCTGGAATTACTGTAATGCTGATGCCACTGTTTGTACTGGTATTAGTTTTGGTAATATACTCAAACCACTTCTCCCACTGCTGCTGATCATCATTTCTTCCATCACAGATGTTGCTGTTTAGCAGGAAACTACAAATTGTCAGAAGTCTGACCATCCCAGGAACGCACCATCTCTCTCCAGCAGGTATTACACCTGTCAACCTAACTTCAGGGGTACAGGGAAATAATAAGTCAGTGTAACTCAGTACAAGCCATTAAAACTAACTAGACTCATCAGAATTTAGTGGAGCACTCTGTCAGGCCAGCCTCACATGTATCAGGTTGGGTCAGGTGTGTGGGCGTGTCCTCACCTCGTGAGACAGGTAGAAGGCGGCGATGCCAAGCGGCCAGAAGCAGCAGAGCATGGAGAAGACACTGAGGCCCAGGTGATCTCTGGGAGGCATCAACAGGAAGGTATCCTCGCTCTCTGATTCGCTGGAGTAATCACTCTGAAACACACACAGGTAGCTCAGAAACACAGAGCGCTGGCTCACCTTTGATTGATGTTGAATTCTAAACTTTTTAGGAGAATATCATATATCAATATCATCACACATTGTTGAATACGTGTTCTGTTTTTCTGAATCTATTTTAATTAGCTGCAAAGAAATAATTACATTTTCAGCCCTGAATAGTGTCTGCAGGCATCAACGGCTTTCACCAATCAGAGGGGGATTGTGTCACCTGTATGTAGTCTGAGAGGCAGATTTAACTCCATAAAGATATATGATGATAGAATATGAAATTGGGAATTTGCGTTGTTTTTAAAGCTCTGGCTGATAAACGCCCTGGACACAGCGGACCAAGAATGTCGGACAACTTGTCTCTAGTACGCCATCACCAAACACTATCTCGCCTTCATCAGGGTGTCAGACTGTTTCTAGCCAGTGATGAGGTGAATATAGATCACCATAGAAACCAAGTATACAAATAAAAATATTTTAAAACAAAATAAATTATTAATATTATATTATAAAATTAATTCTTATTATAAATGAAATATTTTGAATCCTGGTGTACTGGAGGAGGGTTGTGCCACATGTTTTCATTTGGATGGTCTAGTTGGTAGTAGTTAGTTCATTTAGATGGTTAGTATTAAAGGTGGTCAGTGGTTGTAGTTAGCACAGTGGTAATATATAAATAGTCTTAGTCTCCAGTGTACTCTGCAGTACTCCACAGATCAGCTGCTGTCTTACATCCAGAGAGTCAGCTCCATCACTGTCTGACTCCTCAGTCATAAACACACATGATGAGCAGAGAGATCAGATCTGCTGGCTTCTAGTTCAGGAAACCGACAACAGAGTCGGTGTCCCTGTGACAAAACTCTTATTCTGAAAATATTCTGCGGGACGATAGTAATTTCACCTGTGCTGAACTACTTCTCTCACTAATATCTTAGTAAGAGCAGGTTCGCACACTCCGTCAGTAATCCCCCTCTCTGGTATTACAGGGACAGAGTAGATTAAAGCTGGACTTTGCAGAGACAAAATCACAGCATTTCCAGCTAATCGTCTCTAAAGCGATTGGCTGTTAGGCGGCCAAATGTGTCGTTCGGAGAGCTGCAGCTCGCTAATCTCATTCTGCTGCAAACTCACTAGACGGGAGGAGGGATGTCAGAGCGCTCAATTAGATAGATTATGAAATCTGCTTCCTCTAAAGAGGCTCAAAACCCAACACGCTGTTAGGACAGTGACGGGCTGAATATTTAGAAGTAAACGCAGTGAAAACTCCTCAAAGCAGCAGGGCTGACTGTTGAGAGATACGTGGTTCTCACAGGACAGCAACGCTAAAAACACATGCTGATCTTATAGACCATGATGCATTGCTGCAGATTAAACTGCCCAACAGGACTTAAAACATCTGCAGCAGTTTATTAATGCAGCAGGAATATTAATCCAGAAACATCAGATGTAACAGAGAAACCCTGACAGGAACATTTTACTGCACCATGAGATAATACTTAGTAGCAGTACTAATACTTTTACTGAAGTAAAGGATCTGAGTACTTCTTCCAAGACTGAAGTCAGTACAGATTTACAGGATCAGCCCTCAGCAGATTCTGTCCTCCTCCTCTCTGTGTTCTCCACATTAGAATTCAACAGGTGTGTTATTCTGCTGCAGAGTGGAGGATGGGGGGTTTTAAAGACAGGATGGACGGTGGAGGATGGAGGGTTTTAAAGACAGGATGGACGGTGGAGGATGGAGGGTTTTAAAGACAGGATGGACGGTGGAGGATGGGGGGTTTTAAAGACAGGATGGACGGTGGAGGATGGAGGGTTTTAAAGACAGGATGGACGGTGGAGGATGGAGGGTTTTAAAGACAGGATGGACGGTGGAGGATGGAGGGTTTTAAAGACAAGATGGACGGTGGAGGATGGAGGTGGAGGATGGAGGGTTTTAAAGACAAGATGGACGGTGGAGGATGGAGGTGGCGGATGGGGGTTTTAAAGACATGATGGACGGTGGAGGATGGAGGGTTTTAAAGACAGGATGGACGGTGGAGGATGGGGGTTTTAAAGACAGGATGGACGGTGGAGGATGGAGGGTTTTAAAGACAGGATGGACGGTGGAGGATGGGGGTTTTAAAGACAGGATGGACGGTGGAGGATGGGGGTTTTAAAGACAGGATGGACGGTGGAGGATGGAGGGTTTTAAAGACAGGATGGACGGTGGAGGATGGGGGGTTTTAAAGACAGGATGGACAGTGGAGGATGGGGGTTTTAAAGACATGATGGACGGTGGAGGATGGGGGTTTTAAAGACATGATGGACGGTGGAGGATGGGGGGTTTTAAAGACAGGATGGACGGTGGAGGATGGAGGGTTTTAAAGACAGGATGGACGGTGGAGGATGGGGGGTTTTAAAGACAGGATGGACGGTGGAGGATGGAGGGTTTTAAAGACAGGATGGACGGTGGAGGATGGAGGGTTTTAAAGACAGGATGGACGGTGGCGGATAGGGGGTTTTAAAGACAGGATGGACGGTGGAGGATGGAGGGTTTTAAAGACAGGATGGACAGTGGAGGATGGAGGTGGCGGATGGGGGTTTTAAAGACATGATGGACGGTGGAGGATGGGGGTTTTAAAGACAAGATGGACGGTGGAGGATGGAGGGTTTTAAAGACAGGATGGACTGTGGAGGATGGAGGGTTTTAAAGACAGGATGGACTGTGGAGGATGGAGGGTTTTAAAGACAGGATGGACGGTGGAGGATAGAGGGTTTTAAAGACAGGATGGACGGTGGCGGATAGGGGGTTTTAAAGACAGGATGGACGGTGGAGGATGGAGGGTTTTAAAGACAAGATGGACGGTGGAGGATGGAGGTGGCGGATGGGGGTTTTAAAGACAGGATGGACGGTGGAGGATGGAGGGTTTTAAAGACAGGATGGACGGTGGAGGATGGGGGTTTTAAAGACAGGATGGACGGTGGAGGATGGGGGGTTTTAAAGACAGGATGGACGGTGGAGGATGGAGGGTTTTAAAGACAGGATGGACAGTGGAGGATGGAGGTGGCGGATGGGGGTTTTAAAGACAGGATGGACGGTGGAGGATGGAGGGTTTTAAAGACAGGATGGACGGTGGAGGATGGGGGTTTTAAAGACAGGATGGACGGTGGAGGATGGAGGGTTTAAAGACAGGATGGACGGTGGAGGATGGGGGTTTTAAAGACAGGATGGACGGTGGAGGATGGGGGGTTTTAAAGACAGGATGGACGGTGGAGGATGGAGGGTTTTAAAGACAGGATGGACGGTGGAGGATGGGGGGTTTTAAAGACAGGATGGACGGTGGAGGATGGGGGTTTTAAAGACAGGATGGACGGTGGAGGATGGAGGGTTTTAAAGACAGGATGGACGGTGGAGGATGGAGGGTTTTAAAGACAGGATGGACGGTGGCGGATAGGGGGTTTTAAAGACAGGATGGACGGTGGAGGATGGAGGGTTTTAAAGACAGATGGACGGTGGAGGATGAGGTGGCGGATGGGGGTTTTAAAGACATGATGGACGGTGGAGGATGGGGGTTTTAAAGACAGGATGGACGGTGGAGGATGGAGGGTTTTAAAGACAGGATGGACGGTGGAGGATGGAGGGTTTTAAAGACAGGATGGACGGTGGAGGATGGAGGGTTTTAAAGACAGGATGGACGGTGGAGGATAGAGGGTTTTAAAGACAGGATGGACAGTGGAGGATGGAGGTGGCGGATGGGGGTTTTAAAGACATGATGGACGGTGGAGGATGGGGGTTTTAAAGACAAGATGGACGGTGGAGGATGGAGGGTTTTAAAGACATGATGGACGGTGGAGGATGGGGGTTTTAAAGACAGGATGGACGGTGGAGGATAGAGGGTTTTAAAGACAGGATGGACGGTGGCGGATAGGGGGTTTTAAAGACAGGATGGACGGTGGAGGATGGAGGGTTTTAAAGACAGGATGGACGGTGGAGGATGGAGGGTTTTAAAGACAAGATGGACGGTGGAGGATGGAGGTGGCGGATGGGGGTTTTAAAGACATGATGGACGGTGGCGGATGGGGGTTTTAAAGACAGGATGGACGGTGGAGGATGGGGGTTTTAAAGACAGGATGGACGGTGGAGGATGGGGGTTTTAAAGACAGGATGGACGGTGGAGGATGGGGGGTTTTAAAGACAGGATGGACGGTGGAGGATGGAGGGTTTTAAAGACAGGATGGACGGTGGAGGATGGAGGGTTTTAAAGACAGGATGGACAGTGGAGGATGGGGGGGTTTTAAAGACAGGATGGACGGTGGAGGATGGGGTTTTAAAGACAGATGGACAGTGGAGGATGGAGGGTTTTAAAGACAGGATGGACGGTGGAGGATGGGGGTTTTAAAGACATGATGGACAGTGGAGGATGGAGGGTTTTAAAGACAGGATGGACAGTGGAGGATGGGGGGTTTTAAAGACAGGATGGACAGTGGAGGATGGAGGGTTTTAAAGACAGGATGGACAGTGGAGGATGGAGGGTTTTAAAGACAGGATGGACAGTGGAGGATGGGGGTTTTAAAGACAGGATGGACGGTGGAGGATGGGGGTTTTAAAGACAGGATGGACAGTGGAGGATGGGGGGTTGTGATCTGTGGAGAGCTCTGTAAAACATCTAGTGGCTGTGAGAGGAACTGCAGCGGCTGCTTTAATGTTCATCTTCTGTTAGCTGTTTTATCCACATCTATCCAACCCGTTCTCAGTCCCAAGTCGTCCCATATTGACGCTTGGTCAACACCCCTTGGCGTCAGTTTGTGACGCACTGGGCAGCCAGTCATTTATTAGCGCTAAAGGTAGGTGTAGGCTTTTTAACAGAAGAGTCAGAGTCAGAGGCTGGTTGGGGTGGGCGGTGGGCCAGAAACTTGACTTTCACCCAGGACGCTGATGTTCGTTCCCCATGAAACAAAAAGTCATTGTGATTATAGTGATGTTACGTAGTTATTTTAACCCAAACCAGGATCTTTTCCTAAACCTAACCAACAATGCCCACTAGTTTTATTGTAAAAGTCTAACTGGACGTTGCATATTATTCTTGCTAACTTGATGGCGGAGGCGTACACGTACACATTTTACCGCAGCGTTTCTGATGACAACGAAACATAAAACATAAAGTCCTCACCTCCAACTCCTGGAACTCGTCGTCGATGTCGTACGACAGCGTGTGAATCTTTGTGTCCTCTCCAGAAAAGTCCAGAAACTTCCCGTCGGCGAACAGCACGCCTCCTTTGTGGAGGAGAGGCTGCTGGAGGAGGCGTCAGGACTGAGCCCCTCGATGAAGGTGGTCTCACAGCAGTCGCCTCCCCCGGCCTCCCCCCACGCCCGCAGACGTTCTCTGGGCAGAGGAGAGGCCGGGGGTCGTCCTGAGGCGGGGTCCAACACCGCCTGATGATGGAGGAGAGCGCTGGGGTTCAGGAGCTGAGGAGGTCCCCCACCTCCTCCTCCACCGCTCCTCTCCTGCTGCGGGGGGGCGTTCACCACCACATGACCCTGATACTGAGGAGCTGAGTACACCAACAGCAGCGCCTCCCGAGGCTCCGCCCCCAGCATGTGTGTGTTGATGAGCCATTTTGTCTACAGGCGTCTCCTCCTCCTCTGGGCGAGGCTCTCCCCCTTTGGAGGAGGTTGAAGCCTCTTCTCCTCGGCTCTCCTCCTCCTCTCCTCTCTCCATCCTTCCTCAGAGCTCTGCTGGTCGCTCCTCCTTCTCAGAGGGGTCTCTCAGAGGGGTCAGGGCTCAGGGGCCCGGCATCGCAGGCTGAACTCTCCAAGAAACAGAAACAGAAAACACTGTTGGACCTTGGAAGGAGGAGAAGATGTGTCCTCCTCTGCTCCTGCAGTTTAAAGACAGAAACTCGACTAACGAAAACGGATGCTGATGATCCTGACACAGCTGCATGTGGACCTGATGGTGGCGCTACAGGAACACTCAGAATCACCAAAGTTCGGTCTGAACCACATTTCATCACAAGCCGTGTTTCAGTCTGGTCCCACTGCACAGCACTACAGCAGGTGATTTAACTCTCTGCAGCCTTCGTGTGACTTTCAAAGACAATTCTGGTGTTTGTGGAGAGGCCTCACCTGACAATGATAATCTAGGTGGTTTGAGCAGCAACTTGCTACGACCTAGTGGCAACAGTAGCAAAGAGGAGAGCAGGTCCATATTATAAATGGTGAAGTCCATGTGAGGAGGTGGATGGGTCAAACCCTGGACTTACACTCAGGAGAACGGCGTTTGAGTCCTGTGTGAAACCTTGTCAATGTTATTTTTAAGTTAAATAATACTGACTTCTGTCACGTGACTTCCATTATTTACTTGTTTTAACCCAAACTAAGACCTTTTCCTAAACTGAACCAAACTGTGACCATTTCACACCTTTAACCACGCGTTTAATGTCACGTGTTAGCAAAGATAACGGTCATATGCGTCGTTTTGGGAGGCATGGATAAATTGCCAGTGTTTTTGTTAGGTTGGAGGACGTATTTGAGATCAAGGCTTTTAAACTGCGACTCCATCAAGTTTCTACAAATCAGCTGCAACCATAGACTGTATATAAGAAATGACGTCACCTGTTGGTTTGTGGACTGCCATTTTGAAGCCTCAAGTTGGGGGAGCCAACGGCCGTGTGCGGAGCTAGCGAGCTTGCTTAGCTAGGTGCATTTTAACAGGGCTGATAACTCTGTCTAGTGAACTACAGTCTTAAAACTAAATGCACTCACCAGAGAAAGTGAACAGCCGACTCCTAATGGAGGTTAAATTTACACAGTGCCGAGGGTTCGAGTCGGCTCTAGCCTGATTGACAGGTCTGCTGGATTTTCAATAGAATGCAGGTTTCAGGGACTTCCGCATTGTGGACTGGAAGCTTCCCGCTTGGCTGCAACTTTTACTTGGTGCTGCGTTCAGGGACACCGAACTCAAAATTCTGGTGATTTCATGCATAGAAGGGTTCAGCAGCAGATGTTAGATGTCAGAGTGTCCTTGAACACCATTTTGAAACCCTTACAGACACATGCATGACTGTGTGTGGGAGATCAGCATCCTGCATTCAGTCAGCTGTGTGTTGGTGAGGCTGGAGGTCAGACTGAGCTCATTAACACGGGTCCAGGGTCAGTCCAGCTGCAACCAATTCAAGTCTCACAGATCAACACTGCAGAAATACAAATGTTAGTAGAGAAATGGAGGACTGATGGAGGAAGAAGAAGAACAGGGTCACCTGGTTCCTGTCCAGAACGCACTGAGCATGTCAGCTTCAATAACAGAAGCAAGATGTCCTGACGTCATGACAACTGAACCTCTCCTGTTCCTGTAAACTCCTCCCCTCCACCTTCTTCTTCTCCCCTTCTTTCACTAAACGCTTCCACTTTCTCTATCTGCTGCTTTTCTGCTTTTGGATTAACTTCATGACTTTTACTGTGGAGGAGGAGATTTATTTTCAGCTTCACTGAACACTGAGCTTCAACATGTGACATCATCAACTGACCAATCAGGGAACAATACTTCACCTGAGTAAAAGTATTTGTGATGAATATTGGAGGTGGTTGGCCCGTTTACTTTCTATATAAATAATAAAATAATCCATGCACATTAACAATAAAGCTGAGCTTCAAAGCCCCCCCCCCCCCAACACACGCGTGCGCACATACACGCGCAGATCCCTACAGCCCGTGTATATATGTAGGTAAATCTCATCAGGGCTCCTGGAAACCTGAATGCCTACAGTGTCACCAGCTGTGATGCCATCCCGGCGATGCTAAACAGGTCGTGTGATAACGAGAGGACAAAACACGCGCGCGCACACACTCACCTCCCAAGGTGAGACGTGACACCGCGCATCCATCGATGCAGCCAATCAATCAGTAGATCCAGGCTTCACTCCGACCCTTCCCCCGTCCTCCGGCCGCCCTCCGTGCGCTCTCAGCCGCGTTCAGCAGCCGAGAGAGTCCCGGTGTGATGGTCCGGTGCTCCAAGCGGGAAGAGAGGACAGACAGACAGACAGACAGACAGGTGTCCGTCTGCTCGGAGGACGATTCTCCTCCTGCAGGAGAGGAGAGAGCATCAGCAGCTATACGTGCACTGACTGAACACGGAGGAGGAGGCACGTGCGCTGCATACAGAGGAGGTGTTGTGGCAGCAGAGATTTCCTCCCCATGGTCCTAACGCCCCTCAGTATGGCAAGCCATTGGTGCCAAAAAACGTCACTCTTGTAGCATGTTTAGTTACTAAGCTTACTTTGCTGTGATCGTGGCCACCCAAAGGCAGGAAGTAACCACAGACAAGCATGAAACACTCAACACAAAAGTCCCAGACTGATCAAGTGAATTGACTACAGTTCTAAAATTTGAGCTACTCTAGGTTATAGCTTCTAACATCTATTGATTGATGATTTTAGATCAAATTTGACTAAATGATTAATTTGCATTTTATTATTGTCACTTAAAGTATCTCCTAAAATAGAACATACAAACATAAAGAATGTAAGTAATCACCATACATGGAACAACTATCTTTATCTTTATGAGCCCTTCAGTCGGTGTAGTATTGATAGCGAGCCTACCCTTGTTTCTACAAAGCTTTGTTTTACCATGTCATTCTAAATCCAGCATGATCCAGCCAAAGGCAACCTGACATAGACGTGTGTATCAGTCGATTCAGGGGAAACACAGCTCGTCATTTATTCCCTGGCTTGAAACCTTTTATTTATTCATCCAAAGCTATCCTTCCGGACTCCTGCCATAATATATATGTTCCCCCAAAACACTACACCTACAAGTTGCTACAAAAACTTAGCTTTCAGCCAAAAACACCTGAAGGCTATTAAGATACTTGGTTTAAAAAAACGTTGCATTGCTTTCCTCCAAAATGGACATATTTGAGAAAGGTTAGCTGAACTCTTTGTGAAAGCATACCTTCGATGACACCTAAGCTAAAATAAGATGCATGTTTTGAAATCATCAATCTTTACATTGTGAATAATGTTGGCTGATAATGACAAATTGAAATCGGTTTAATCAGTAAAGGCTGAAATTTATTTTACTGTGTAAACATCAAAATTTCATCCCAAAGTTCATCCCAAATTATACTAAATTTTATTATGACATAATTATGAACAACCAGGATAAAGAATCTGTCAGACTGTTTGTGGAGACAATTGATTGTCCAGTAAGGTATTAAAAAAGTAATGCAAAAATATAATTACGCTCATTTATGAACAACTGTAACCAATCTAGCTATGTGAAA